CCGGGTTCTCCCCCGCCATTCCTGCCAGGAATTCCTGATTATCCACAGCCATTCCTGCCACGAATTCCAGGTTATCCACAGCCATTCCTGCCAGGAATTCCCAGTTATCCACAGCCATTCCCAACAGGAATTCCCAGTTATCCACAGCCATTCCTGCCAGGAATTCCTGATTATCCACAGCCATTCCCGACAGGAATTCCTGGATATCCACAGCCAATCCCAACAGGAATTCCTGGATATCCACAGCCAATCCCAACAGGAATTCCTGGTTATCCACAGCCATTCCCAACAGGAATTCCTGATTATCCACAGCCATTCCTGCCAGGAATTCCTGGTTATCCACAGCCATTCCTGCCAGGAATTCCTGGATATCCACAGCCATTCCTGCCAGGAATTCCTGGTTATCCACAGCCATTCCTGCCAGGAATTCCTGGTTATCCACAGCCATTCCTGCCAGGAATTCCTGGTTACCCATAGCCATTCCCACTATAATTATAATATTATATATATTATTTATTTCTAAAATATAAATATTATAGAATAATTTGATTATTTTATTGAATATTTTAATACTAATATTATTAATTACAACAAATAAGAAACATTAATATTAATAATATTTAAGATATATTACTGTAGGTTATGTATAATCATACAATATATTATTATATATAACAATTAATGCTATTAAAACAATTATATATAATAATTAATAGATATTTATTAATATAGCTATCAATATAATCAATTATTTATAATTAATTAGATAACAATAAAATATTTTATATTAATTATATAACAATTATTATACACAATAATATATCATATATAATTAGATATAATTAATATATTAAATTAAAATTATTTATATAATTAATTATATATTATAAATTATAATATATTAATTATAATTTAATTATATCTATAGTGATAAATTATTCCAAATTTATTAAACTTAAATTATTTATTAATAGAAATATAATTAGTTCTATTAAGTATTTTTTAAAATGTTAACTAATTAAAATGAATATATCATTAGAATTAATTCTATGTATTATATATAATGTATGACTATATAATTATAATTAATTATAATTATATTTTAATATATAATTATATTTTAATATAATTATATTTTAATATATAATTATAATTAATATATGACCTCATTATATATTATATTAACTATATTTAATAATTTAATTCTAATTCATTATAATGAATTATAATTATAATTAATTACAACTACAATTAATTATAATTAACCAACAAACGACTCCAGATTTCTATCCCACAATTATCCGTGAATTTTCCCTCGTTCCCAATCCCATCTCACCCTTTTGGGTCCCTCCCAGCAGGGTTTTCCCGCGGATCCCTTTGCACAAATCCAGGATCGTGGATCCCACGTAGGCGATTTCGGGCCCAAAGCGGAAACTCTGCACGGAAAAATCCCGGAATCAGCACCAAAACAAGAGGGAATTGTTGGAATTCATCCAAAGATGGCTCCATGTGGAATTACTGCATTCCCAGCAATCTTCTGGAGAATTTTTCCATAAAAAAAACAACTAAATCCATCCAAAATATTCCTAGAAATCCCAATAATTCTTAAATCCAAAGGATGTGATTCCAACCAAGCTCCTGGACAGCTTCTCCTGGAAAAGGCACCAAAATTCCCAAAATATTCCTGAAAATCCTGAATGGGCAGGGACACCACCCACCATCCCAGGCCTTGGACATTCCAGGGATCCAGGGGCAGCCACAGCTGCTCTGGGAATTCCAGCCCAGCCAGGAATTCCTTCCCAAAATCCCACCCCAATTCCCCTTTTCCAATCTGGAACCATTCCCTGGCTCCTGCCCCTCCAGGCCTTTCCCAAATTCCAGCTCTCCCGGAGCCCCTCCAGGCCCTGGAATGTGCTGGAAGCTCTCCCTGGATCCTTCCCTTCTCCAGGAGAACATTCCCAGCTCTCCCATCATCTCCATCCCATCAGATCCCACAGCCACCTCCAACATCCCGGATATTCCCCTCAAAAAAAAAAAAAAACCAAACCAAAAACCCAGGGAATCTCCCCACAACGACACCTCTATCCCAGCTCCCGAATTTTCCACGGATTTGGGATTTTTCCGTGGGAATCGTGCCCTTGCCTGGGTCAGGTAGAACACGTGGCTGTGGGGCAGCGAGTAGAGGGTGTTGACGGCCCCTCGGAATGTGTAGATCTGTTGGTGAGGGTCTCCCACCAGGATTTTCCCACATTTTTGGGATTGTACGATATCCACGATGGCTGTGGGAATTAAAAATTAAAAATCTGGATCGTGAACCAGCTCCAAATCCAAGGGAAAACTTTGGATATTGAGGGAAGAACCCGCTCCGAACGCAAATCGGTTCAGAAGTTAAACCCGAAGGGAAAATCAGGTTGAAATTCCAAATATTTGGGTTAAAATATTCCCAAAGCGCTCCCAAGAATGCGGAAATTCCTTCTGGAAGTGGGATTGGAGCTGGAATTCTTGGAATAATTCACCTGGAGTGCAATCCTGGGCTTCATCCACAAAAATGGCGTCGTATCCTGAGAGCTGGGGTTTGCTGAGCTGCCAGAGTTTCAAATATCCTGAGGGAAAAAAAATTGGGAATTTTATGGAGAGGGGAATTCTCTCAGCATAAATCACTTTAAAATAAATCTTTAAAATAAATCTTTAAAATAAATCACTTTTTCCCTTTTTTTTTGGGTTGTTTGCTAAGATTTCACTTGGAATTTCCAGGATGTTTGGAAGAGTTTCCGTTCTCCAGGTGGAATTTGGTGATTCCCAATTTTTTAATGCTTGGTAAAAATTCCAAGGAAAAGTTTTCTCTGGTACAATCCAGAGGAAAGGAGGTGTCAGGAGCAACTTCTAATTTTTTGGGGATTTTTTAGCTGTTTAAAATAAAAAAAAACGGGAATATCCTTCAAATCCACACATTTTTATCCCAGTGGGAGCACAAATAAATTTTATGGATTTTATAGATGAAAAAATTGAGCCAGAGGGACATTCCCTGCTGAGCCAGCAGCAGGAAAAATGGGATTTTCCCTATTTTAAGCAGGAATAAGAAATACATTGATTTTTCCAGCACCAAATCCCTTTTTCCCCAGGGATTTTCCATCTCTTTTACCATCACAAGTCATCTTGTATTTCTTTTCCACGTCTCCATCCAGGTCCTTCATGTTGTGCCAAATCTCCCTGGCCTCATCCACGTTGATCTGAAATGGGGAATAAAATAAAGTAAAATAAAATAAAATAAAATAAAATAAAATAAAATAAAATAAAATAAAATAAAATAAAATAAAATAAAAGACTGAAATCAAATAGTGGAATAAAATAAAATGAAATGAAATGAAATAAAATAAAATAATGGACTGAAGTCAAATAGTGGAATAAAATGAAATAAAATAAAATAAAATAAAATAAAATAAAGAAATGAAATGAGATGAAATGAAAGGTAACAGTGGAATAAAATAAAATAAGATAAAATAAAAATAATGAAATGAAATCAAATAGTGGAATAAAATAAAATAAAATAAAATAGTGGAATAAAATAAGGTAAAATAAAATAAATTAAAAAAAATAAAATAATGGAATGAAATGAAATGAAATGAAATGAAATTAAATTAAATAACGGAATAAAATGAAATTAAATGAAATCAAATCCAATTATGGAATAAAATAAAATGAAATAAAATGAAATGAAATAAAGTAAAATAAAATAAAATAAAATAATAAAATAAAATAAAATAAAATAAAACAAAATAATGGAATGAAATGAAATTAGATGAAATGAAATGAAATAGTGGAATAAAATAAAATCAAATCACCATTTTATATTGTATTATATTACGTTATATTACATGATATTACATTATATTATATTATTTATATTACATTACATTATACTGCATTATACTACATTATATTATACTACATTGTATATTATATTATACTATATTATATTATATTATATTATGTTATATATTATATATTATATATTATATATTATATATTATATATTATATATTATATGTTATATGTTATATGTTATGTTATATGTTAATGTTATATGTTAATGTTATATATTATATTATATTATATTATATTATATTATATTATATTATATTATATTGTATTATATTATATTATATTATATTATATTATATTATATTATATTATATTATATTATATTACACTACATTATATTACACTACATTATATTACACTACATTATATTACACTACATTATATTATACTACATTATATTATATCTCACTCTCTTTTCCTGTGGGCTCACGCGCTCCATGTTCCCGTGGGTGTTCCTGAACCAGAGTGGAACGTGCTCCTCGCTGATTTCCTCATCCCTGGAGGAAAAGAAATTCTCCAAGGTCTGCGACACCGTTTTCCCTCTCACAAACAGGGATTGGCCTTTGCAATTCCGAAGGAGGGAGCTGATGGAAAACACGGACATCTTGGAAAAGTTCAGCTTGCCTTTGTCTTTGTAGCTGGGTCAGAGGGGAGAAAAAGCCAAAAAAAAGGATGTTAAAACGTACAAAAATCCTGTTTTTTTGTGAATTATCCGTGGAAAAATCTGGATTTCCATCCCAGTTCATCCTAAGAATGGAATCTCTTTAAATCTGCACGGATTCGTCCCGGTGGAAGGAGAAATTTGTTGGTTTTATACGTTCTAGAGATGGAAAACTGAGCTCATCCCTGGAATTCCAGAGTGTTTGCAGAGCCAGGGAATGGCACTTCCCTCTTTTTCAAGGATCATTTTCCTTCCTATCCCCAGCTTAAAAATGCCAGAATTGGATCCTTAAAACAGCTCAGGATAAGGAAATTGATTTTTTTATTAAATAATATATTGTATAATTATATATTGGTTGTTAATATTGTAATATTAATATAATAATATTATATTATAATATAGTATCATACCGTATCATTAATACAATTTAATGCAATATAATATACTATAATGTAACATAACAAATGTAATATAATTTAATATAATATAATATATAATTTATATAATGTAATATAATGCAATATAATGCAATGGAATGGAATGGAATGGAATATATTTAATTTAACATATTTAATATAATATAACATAATATAATAAAAAAATGTAATATAATGTAATATAATAAAACATAATATGAATTATATTATATTATATTAATTACATTATATTACTGTAATGTAATATAATATAATGTAATATAATATGACATAATATAGTTAATATAATATATGACATAATATAGTATAATTTATATTGTACTAAATTATATTAATCACACTACATTAATTACATTATTTATTATTAATTATATATATCATATTGCATATATTACATATTATAATATGTAACAATATATATTATATAATATAAATTATATATATTTATTATTATATTAATTGTATTATGCCATTATGTCTTATTATATTATATTATGTAATATTATATTATATTATGTTACGTTGTATTATATTATATTCTGTTATGTTATGTTGTATTATATTATATTATGCTATGTTATGTTATATTTTATTATGTTATGTTACATTATATTATATTATATTATATTATATTATATTATATTATATTATATTATATTATATTATTATATTATATTATATTATATTATATTATATTATATTATATTATATTATATTATATTATATTATATTATATTATATTATATTACATTATATATATAACATATAACCATACAATAATAATTATAATTCCTGATTCCTCATCCTTTCCCTGCTCCCACCAAGGAATTTTAATTCCCTCTCACCATCTCCCAGCGCTTCCAAAAGCCAAGGAATGGAAAGTCTTGCAGGTGACATTCCTTGGAAAAACCTTTTTCCCCTTTTCCACCACAGCTCTGTTAAAAGCCAGGTAAAGGAATTTCAGCTCCGGGAATTTCTCCGCGTACTTGACCAAAGTTGAGGTTTTCCCTGTGCCTGGAGAGGAAAATCAGGAATATCCAGTCAGGAAGGAATAATTCCAGATTTTTATTTTTATACCTGCCTGTCCTGTTGTTCCAACTCTAAAATTCCTCTTCACTCCTGATTTCATGGAATTATTTAGGTTGGAAAAGCTCTTTAAGGTCAAGCCCAAGCATTCCCAGCACTTCCAAGGCCACCCACGTCCCCATCCAGAGGATTTTATGGAATGGGGATTCCATCCCTGCCTGGGGCATGGAGGAATTTTCCCAAAATCCATCCTAAAGCTTCCCTGGCCCAGCTTTAGGAATTGCCCACTCCAGCCTGGATCCCTTTTCCATGGGGTCAATCCTTCAGGAATGGCTCCAACATGGATCCCTTTTCCATGAGATCCATTCCTTCAGGAATGGCTCCAACATGGATCCCTT